CATAACTCATCTAGAATATCTAAAATGGAAAACTAGAAAAGATTATCATTTGACCCGAGGAAAGTAGGTTAATTAATCAAATCGTACAAGAAATCAAGGTTATTTCTCGCTTATTTTATTGATAAGGAAAGGAAGAAAAGAAAAGAAGAAAAAAAGATCAATTATGACTGAATTAATGGTAAATGGAATCGTCTATTATATTTAGCAGAAAGACGGATACTTCTCATAGAAAGACAGAGAGTTACTAAAACATTGGCCTCGTTCACAGCCATTAACCAAGGTTAAATACTAAACAATGGAAAACAATTTCTACAACAGCAGTGGCATGCAATGTTCCATCAATGTCTTACTGCGGCATTTGAGGCTCGGTCGACGGTGACAATACTAGAAATCCCTTCAAATCGTGGTTGTAGCTAGGTTTCGGATTAGGGAAAACGAGAACAAGAGAAAAGAGAGGAAAGGAGGGAAATTGAGAATTGGGCGCCACATAATTACATTAACCCAAATATTATTGTTATTTTTGAAATATTTTAAAACAATTTACTGATAAAAAAGTCTATAGCTATTTTGTCAGTAACAAAAAATACCGTCAAAATATTTTGCCGGTAATTCATGAATTAAAGTTTTTCGCTGTTGTTGTCGGAATTTTGACGGTAAATCGAGGCACCATTATCTGGCACGTTTATTACCAACATATTAGCAAGAAACACTTTTTGTAGCAAATTAGCGATAAAATACCTACAAAATTTTTATAGTGATATTTTTCAAATAATATTAATTTTTAATAATTTACATTTTGTCGGTATTAGTTGGTAGTTTATCACCAAATACCAGTAAAATTTTTGTCGATATTTTTTGTCATGACCTGTTAGCTTGGGTCGGATCGGCACTAAGATTTTGGTAAGCTTAAAGTCATCAAAGCCTGTAGTATGCCAAATATATACAAATCCAATTTTTCTGTCAATAGAATCGGCCTCAGGCTCAATATCATCATATTCAATAATAACTCGATTTATAAGGTTCTCTGGGCCCATATTAATATTTATTATGTAATAGAAACTTTAATAAATAATACATCAATATTTTTTAGATTTATTATACATGACTATCCTAATTGCAGAACAATCTAAAACTTAAAATTTCACATTACTTGTCGAGGTATCTTCTAGAGATCTAATGACAGAGGACAATGAGATGTTCAAATACTTGTAACCTAGAAAAAATATTAAGGCAAGGGTCAATGCCTAAACTCAGTGAGTAGTATTAGATAATCTTCTCACCTCACACAATCACACAATTCGTATTTAATTCAATCTAGTTATCAGACTAGTTATATAATCATACAGTCAATCATGCAAATTACATAGCAACAACAATCACAACTATTAACACCTTCACATAACCACATCAAATGGAGATTAGTTAGTGGCGTCACCTAAACCCCCCGACGAGTCGTCCTCACACGTGGCCCGCTCTCTCATCATGTGTGCACTAGGGAGCCTGTGGATCCCGTATATGTATGGCACAACCCAAGAGGGGGGCGAATTGGGTTTTGTAAAAATATAAATTTTTAGATTAAAAACAAAATATAGAATTCGGGTTTTGGTAAAAAATATAAATTTTAGATTAAAAAAACAAAATATAGAATTCTTAAGGCAGCGGGGAAAAATAGAAAAACTTATGAGGATAAATTTTATAGATTAGAACTTCCTCAAACAATGTTCTATTCAGAAAATAGGGAAAGACTATGCCAAAGTGCAAAGTTAATAATTAGAATTGCTTTTACAATGTTCTTATTTAGTATTAACTTCTTTATGACGAAAGCTATTGCTAATTAGAACTTCCTCATTAAAGTTTTTAGAAAAATCATATTAAGACTGTGTGGAGAGACAGTTATTGAAAATTAGAACTACTTTCACAAAAGCCTTTAATTCAAGTTTAGAAAAACTTTGATTAGAAACCCAAGTTACGTGGAACATACTGTTAAATAGAAGAACGGTTAGAACTTGTATATTTACTTATCAGAATTCCAGAGTTCTATTATTCAGAGAAGCATAAAACTTATTTCAGTTTTTTAGAACATTCAAATCATTAACAATTTTTAGCATTTCTAAAATATAAACAGAAGTGTAAAGTTAAAGTAGTATTCAGGCAAAACTTCAGAAATTCACAAAAGATCACACCATGGATTATAGTGGTTCGGGCACTAACTCACCTACATTCCACTCCCCAAGACTCATTTGAGATCCTCAACTATGCTTATTCTCTTTTCAAGGGTTAACCAACAGTACCAAAGGCCAATAAGATCAACACCTTAGATCTACCCTTTATCCCATTAGATTTTCAATAAGGTTCTAGTTAACCTCAACCACTTTCTATTTTTTGACAGAGTACAGAAACTCAATTCAAGACATGTACAGAAACTCAATTCAAGACATTAGAATCTCTCTCACGGAGAAGGTTGCTTGATAACCTCTTTCACAATAGCTTCTCACCTAAGCTATGACACAATTGTTTATCAAATAAAAACATGTCTACTACAGATTACATAATCTAAATAGACAGACAAAAATGCAAATATAAGAACAGGAAAAACAGTTTTTCTGATTAGAAAATCGTTTAAAAAATAGAACTGTTTTTCAAAAGCAGTTGTTATAAAAATTCTTTTCTCTTTTAAAGATAAAACCGTAAAGTATAAAGATGAAAAGAAATAGAGAGGGTAGAAAGTAAGTTTTGAGAGATAAAAAGTAAGTTTTGAGAGATAAAAGATATGATCATTAGGAGAATACTCTTAAAAACGAAAACTCTTTCTTCCACCATTTCAAAAAATGAAAACTTCTTTTTATAGAGAGGTCTGTGACTCTCGTTTTTAGAAAGTGGATATTTCTTTTTTTGAGATCAGAATATTTGCTTTCCTTATTTTGAAGATACAGAAATCTTAGTTACCAAAAATTTATTTTATCCTTTTGGTAAAAAAATAGGAGACAATCTTTCTTTGCTTAAACATAAAGATTTCCGAAAGCAATTTATTTGAGAAATATTTTTCGAAAAGATTCTACTTACTAAAACGAAAAAAAAAAAAAAAGATCTTCCTTCGTTTTAGGTAAGAGAATAAATTAAAATTCTTAGATCTTCAAAAAGGATTTCCGAAAAAGAAGTGCATAAAATTTATTACCAAAATCGTTAGAGACATAATCTCTTTAATTTTAGGTAATTGAATCATTTCGATTTCTTTTACGGAATTTCGAAAATAACTTTTTGACGAAAAGATTTATTTTGAAGAATCGAATCTAATTTTCGAAAAAAACTTTTTTGATGAGAGAAAGATTAGTTTTTGTGCCTTATAGATGAATTTTCTCTCTATCCTTACAATGAATCCTTAAATATCCTAACCACTAAGGATCTTTGGGATGTCTTCACATTTACTATTGGAATTTTGTAAGGATTTTGTTTTGATCGTTTATTACCTTTCCATAAGTATTTCTGCATAAAATATCATAGCACGAATAATATAATTTTAAATTTATTTGGTTTGTTTTTAATCATCATTTGTTTTAATCATCAAAATTCCGAGATTAGAATTTGACCCTTGAGCCAACAGAGCCGATCCCCCATACATGGCTGACCGGTCTCAACCTCACTTAACCAGCCCTCTCATTTTTTTTAATACTCTTTTCTTTTCTATACCAACAAGAGGCTACCCTATGGTTTTTCATATCATAATTCATCAATGCACACGGGGGCACCGATCTCCCTATACATGGCTGTCAGTATCATGGACTGCCCTCACAAACCCAACAGTGACCCACTTCATCCCAATTCTACACAACCAAAGCATATATATAGGACACCACAACTAATCAAGCAATACCCAATAGCAACAAGTAATGCAGCACAAATAGCAATTCTTTAAATAATGCATCTATACCTAGATGGCATTTATCTATCATGTACGAATGCATAATATTTATCTGTGTATGTATGTATGCATATGCAATAGGCAATAAGTTATCCTACACTACTCACAGCTTTATGCTCTAGCTGGAAGCTATGCTCCATATTTCAAGTGTTCTGCTATCCAACGTTCGGTTTCTCGGGACTCGCAATCATATGTAAGGAAAGAATCAGAAACGAATTTCTATTAGTTTACTATTTTATTTCTTAAGAACTGTGTAACGAATCTTTTCTGCTAGCTTATTAATTCATTTGTTTTATAACTCTCTAATTCTATCACTTTACTTACTAACTAGATTCTCAAATAATTAGCAACATTGATGGTATTGGTAATTAGCTTTTATTATTAGTGTAGTTAGTTTAGTCCTTGATAAATGTTTTACCAAAAATCCGGCAACATCTTAAAAATAGAATTATCTACCTGCTTCAAACAATAGCAACATTATCACCTAAAAATAGAATTATCTACCTGCTTCAAACAATAGCAACATTATCACCTAAAAATAGAATTATCTACCTGCTTCAAACAATAGCAACATTATCACCTAAAAATAGAATTATCTACCTGCTTCAAACAATAGCAACATTATCAATTATTCAATATTTCTATTTATCCAATTCACACTGCACATCCTTCGGGCGAATCAATCATATAATTCCCGTCCGCCAATTCATTAACGTTATAATTCTTTCATAATACCAAATTCAATTTAGTTTCACCATAGCTCAACTATAGAGTTGTAATTTAATCCATAATCTTCATATTAAATTAAACAAAACCAGATAAACATGTCAGGTAAGCGTTCACAATCAATAATTATATAATTTCATCTACTTAATCAGTTTCTCAACTTTTCAATACTAGGATCTAACATAATAAGTACTTCATTTCTGTAATATTAAATTATACTCATTTAAATTCCGCATTTGTATTATACGAGTCAATCTATATTAACTGAATCAACTAAAATAAAGTTTAACTAAATTAACTTAATAACTCTAACTGAATACAATGAGAAAACATGAAATCAAGAACTAGAGCTCACCAAATTAAAATTGGATTACAGAATCATGATCGTTACGAGGAGGAGGAAATTTTGCCTCTCAAGGTCTCATAGGAGCCTCACCGGCCGATCACCGAACCGTTGTTGACGACCGCCATGCGTAGTGGCCGAAAAATCGAGCTCGGTTAGAATTTTACATCGATCGCAACATCCGACTCGCAATTCATTGAGGAGCCCATTTCTGATGTCAGTTTATGGAGTGGGTGAGTTATTTAGCTGGAATAAGCCTCGAAAACCACTCACCAACGCCATTCATGGTGGTTTTGCCATCCAGGGTTTGTCGCCGGAATTGAAGGAAGGAAAATGTTTAGGAGGTGAAAGGGAGTCGATTCCTCCATGCATGGGATTGCCGGGAACGACGTATATCACCTGAAAATGGATCTTTGACTATGTCGAGACCTTCAAGCTTCGGTCCCTCTCAATCAGTTGCCAAAACTCACAAACTAAGACTAGAATCATGTTCCTTGCGATGCGTAGATGAATTTTGAGTGCTCGTTTGCATTTTGGTGGCCCGTAGCCGAAGAATGAAAGGAATGGAGGGTTCGGCGCTGTGGTCGTGCGAGGAAGGAAGGGGAGGAAATTTTGGGTTTTTCTCTCTCTAAATCCTTAAAAAATATTTATACCTTGATTCGGTCTAATTCGGGTTTGGTCCGATTCAATAGAAAATTCTAGGTTCTTAACCTACTTATACTGGTTCAGTTTGGTTTTCTAGAGGTTTGGTTTTTTTTTTAATTGATTTAATCAAGTTCTAGAACATTTCTTTAATTTATTCAACAATAATTGTATTATAATATAATACAATAATTATATTTGTGTTTAGGATAATCAATCTAAGTAGTAGATGTATTTTTATTTATTTATCATTGTTATTAATAATAATAATAATTTAATATTTAACATCCAATATTAATTCTTAAAAAGTTTAGAATGTTCTCAACTAAGAGTTTCGATAATATACTTTTGGCTTAAGCCCAACTTGCAAATTTAAATTTGGATTAAAATTATTTGGTATTTGCAGCCCATGTAGTTGAAAATTTAGATTTTTTATTTAGTTAAAATTTGAGAGTTCTGAAAATAAAATTACGGGATGTTTTATTTTTGTCGCTAAATCTCTACTTTTTTTGTAGTGAAAAGAATTATTCATGAAAATTTTATGTTGATGTTGCTAATAATATATTTGATATGTGCACTGACTCTACATACGTCCCTTTATTGCTAATTAAACTTTGGCAATATTAATTAAAAAAAATTGTGCTTGAAACCATGAAAACAATAAAGAAATTAGGTAAGCAACAAAATCAATTTTGTTAATCCTTGACTGTCTTTCCATACAAGTATTTCATGGTAAGTATTTAGTATTTTAATTACATTGATGATTTTATTCGTTCATGTATTGATTTATACATTTAATATTATTTGATACATATATTTATGTGAAAATAAAACTTGACAATTTATTTGTCAATTATTAAAATAATATTGTTCTTGTTATATTTGGACTTTAAGTTTTACTGGCTCTTGTATAGAGATCTTGAATTATTGATGTTTTTCTATTAAGGGTAAGAATTATTTATCATGGATCTAAGATGATGAAATATATTTGAACCCAATGGATCCTGGAGATACAAAAGAAAATTAAAAATCAAATCAAAATAGTATAAAGGTAATAATTTTCCTCTATTTAATATTTGATAATTAAATCTTCGTTTGTTCTTTGAAAGAAATGTATAATTACCAAAGAATCATCATGAATGGATGTATTTATTGTTGCAAAGCTTGTAAAACTGTAAATGATTATAATTCTGCAGTATTAAGGTTATTATTTTATTATTATAATTATTGTTATATATTTACATATATTATCCACGTGGTACAAATTTTGAGTATTTGTTTATTTATTTCTTAAATATAATTAAGATATTTTTGTTATTATGTTAGAGCTTATATTAGCTCTTGGTCTAGAATTATTAATGATATTTATATCTCGAATATGCTCCTAAAGTAGCAATATCGAAAGAAAAAGTTTTATGATAAACTTTGGATTTATTTCATGTTCTTTTATTATTGAGCTCGTAATTAGTATCAAGAAGCTTATTCAATTGGATTTTCTCCATTCTCTAAAGTGAATGGAATGATACATAATATTGGACATAGGAGTAGTGAAATCCACCCAACTAGATTTGATGGATCCCCTAAAGTGAATGCAATAATATATGATATTGGGTGTGGACATGAACAATGAAAAAGATATACTTATCATTGAGAATATTAATGAGATCATAGTTGTGAATCCTAAAGTGAATGCAATAATATATGATATTGGGTGTGGACATGAACAATGAAAAAGATATACTTATCATTGAGAATATTAATGAGATCATAGTTGAAATAATGACTTTAGTAATTATGGTAGCCACATGAGTTATTAAGAACAAATCTTACCACCAGAAGCGGTACAAATAAATGTGGCATAAATGAATATTGGTTATGTACTTGTACACCAAAATATTAAAGGACAAATTTGGCTTTGGTAGTAAAAGAATATTTAAAAACTTCGGAAAAGCAACTATTACTACCTAAAGGAATGAATTAGATGCATAATGCATTATTCCAAAAATATTCATTAAAACAGATATTATATGGTTGTAAACCAGAAGTTTACAAATCCAAGTACTTCATTATTTGGCATAATCGATTGGGAACATTCTGATCAATAATGATGCGAAAAAGGAAAATTTCATCCTTATGTGAATATTTATTGAAGAACCGAAAGTTTCTTCAAATCTAATGAATTTTTCATGCTTAGTTTATTCTCAAAGTGAATTAATTTTTGGGCGATCACCAAGAGTTCAAATTGAACTACTTGTATTTTCTGGAATATATAAAGGAAAGGAATAATAAAGAAATTATTGGAATCAATTTATTTGGATATATTATGGATGCATCCAAATTCTGGAATATATAAAGGAAAATTATTGATCAATTTATTTGGATATATTATGGATGCATCCAAAACATAATTACATGATTATTATTAACTTGCAACTTGAAGTTTGCAAAAATTATTGTCAACATGCAACCTGAAGTTTGCATGATTATTTGCGCAAATAATTTGATTAAGCGCACAATTTCTAGATTATGTTATTAAAGCTAATTTATCTTGAGAATGATGGTGAATTTAAGGCCTTTAATGATTATGGCATGTGAGATAATTTTAGGGCAACCCGTTCTTACTTTTGTTTATGCTCAAAATGATTTAGTATAATCATTATTAAACGTTTGCAATTAATTGCAAGGCTACTATTATGAGAACAAAGCACCATATTTTTGTAGAGGGACATGATGTTATATATCGTAGCATTTACTTACATCAGGCCAATAAGTTATTATATATTCTCCCTTTTATAATTGGTTTTGGATCAGGAACCAAATACGCATCGAGGAATTTTTAAATGTGCACCATATGTTCTAATTGCTCCACCACAATGCACTAAGATGGATCCTCAAAAGAGGTTAAAAAATATGTTGGGTACGGATTTGCATCTATCTATCTAGAATTTTCAAATAAGAAAGTTATTTTATGATCAAATTTGCAAATTGTTATAACCGACACTATGGGGAGAAAATAAGCAGTTAGAAGAATAATTGATTGGAAAAGAATTATCGTTATTATATCTTGATTCCCATATAAGGCAGCGTGACTTTAAAAAGTTTAAAAGATAATTCATTTACAAAATATTACAAATTAGTTGCAAGATATATTTTTGATCTAAAAGGAGATAACTAAATCTTATATACTAGCTGCAAAATGCTCCTATTAGAATTAAAGTCCCTGCAGGACAAACTGTCTATGCTAATGAATCTACGACATGACTGAAGTATTTTAGATCATTTCCAAAGATGAAAATAAAAGAAAACGAGCAAATATTTAAGATGGTCAAGGTCTAGAAAAGTAGAATTTAGAAGAGATCCTATACATGACTAATAAGTTTCCTGAAGAAACTCAGGTACCTGAAATGAATGAAAATTATGAGATCTCTATAAATTATGTCATGTCAGGATAAGATGGAACCAATAAAAAAAAATGTCGACGATATTTTTATGATATGATGCTAAATTTTTTTGAAAGATTATGAGGATCTTGAGAATTGTCTATTGAGAATATAGACATAAAATTGATAAAATAGAATGATGCATGTGACATTTAATTTACTTAGAAAGTAAATTTTAAAATTTTAATATGAGCATCAAGAGATGTTAAGCCAGTAGAATGTAAATATGTATTTTTGCGTAATTGAAAGGGAGTCATGAGATATAAAGCAAACTTATTGCACAAGTTTTTTTTGCAAAGAACCGGCATTGATTATGAGACTAAATACCTCATGTGATAAATGTAATTATAATTTAATATTTGATTAGTCTGGCAATTTATGAAAATTCTAAATGCGTCTATTTATATGCTAACTTGATGTAGATATCTATATGAAATTCCCTAAAGGATTTTAATTGCTTGAAGTATAAAGTTAAAATCTCAAGAAATTTATTCAATTAAATTGTATAGAGCTCTATATGGATTAATGAATCCATAAAATATTGAAAAAATGCTTGACACAAGCAAATCAAGACCCCGAAAAATATATTCAAGATTTCCCCGAAAAATATATTTCAAGGATTTCTATGTGGAATAAAGAAAATTCTTAATACATATAGGTATAATCACCTTAATGATATTACTAGCTGAGAAAATTTTATATTATTTTATGATTATATTGCGCATTTATTATATTCTTTTGTTTGATATTCTTTTGTTGAAAGTCACATGCTTTCATACTTTTGATATTTACTTTATATATTATCACGAGTAAGGTGATCTCTTGATTAATGAATATTTGTTGAAAAAAATATTATAATGATATTATTGAATGTTCATGAACTTTTTTTTATATATAAAGAAATTTTGAATATGAATTTATCAATATTTGGTTCATGAACATTATTGAAACTCCTGAAGAGTTTGCAAAAATTATAATTTCCTTAAAGGAAGAATTTGAAATGAAAAACATGGGGAATATAAAGTTTTGTCTTGACTGAAGATCGAGAATTTCATAAATAAAATTTTGTCTATGAATCCACATACATGACTAAGTTATTAAAATGATTTTATGTGAATCTCAATGGCTTTGAGGTTACTTGATAAGAAAATGACCATTTTTCAACTTTGAGAAAATTATGAAGAACTTATTGGTCCCGAAGTATCATATCTCAGTGTAATAAAATTATGAAGAACTTATTGGTCCCGAAGTATCATATCTCAGTGTAATAAAGACACTAATGTATGTTACTAGTCATATGACTAGATGTAAGAATTTTTATAAATTTTATTTGCAATATATAATTCTTCTTGAATATGAAGAAATTGAATAGAGTTAAATATATATTTTGATATCTCCATGGCATATAATATATAAGAGTTATATTATAACTAACATGAGGAAGAGTAAATATGTACTGTACTCTTTTTCTATTTAACCAAGATTTTTTTTCCCCTTAGATTTTCCTAATAAAGATTTTTAATGAGTATTTCAACGTGTATTGAAGAAAAGAATAATGTACTCTTTTTCCTTCAGTAAGATTTTTTTTTTTCCCATAGGGTTTTTTTTATTAAGGTTTTAACGAAGCATATTCTTTAAAGAATGGACATCTACAGGGAGTGTTATAAAATAAGTGGGTGTCATATACATGCTAAAAGTCTGTATTTTTATTATTGTGAACTCTATGTTCGTGATTTGTGTAGGATGCTATTAGGGTTCCATTTATGCAACTATATATATGTGGCTTCTCATCAATAATAATACACTCTCGTACTCTCATCTTTTGCTCTCTATTCCTTCTCTTTATTCTGCCTATTTTTTTTATTATTTTATAACAATTAAATATTTTATATTTCTTTTTAATATATTATTATATAATTATTTTATATACTATATATATGTTTATCTTATATATATATAATCTTTAACACTAACCTTGAACCCAACACTTGCTTTAGTCTCTTTTTGCGGTGATATAAGTCCCTCCATACAACTCATGAATTAAGAATTCTCATAACAACAAAGTCTATCCGACATGAATTAAGAGTTAATGAAACCTTTCATAGGAACCTTTCACAATGTTATCAACCAATATTATCGACTAATCAGAATTTTGTTGTTAGACCATGGTATTTGATTCACTAAATACATCATTATTATATACTTTTTTTGATATACACAACGCAGTCCAATCCTTGTTTTTCAAGTTTCTAACCCTCAACTTTGAACTAGTATGAGAAAGAAGGGATTTCAGATAACTAATAGAAAACCCAAACTGCCCAATGCCTGCTAGGATTTCATATCCTCTTAAACAAATTAAAAGAGTATTCATATATAGTGTTGTTGGAATCAAATTGGACTGTCTAGTCGAACCAGTTAAACTGAAACCGATTAGCTTGAATCATTTTAACAACGACCGATAGTCATGATGCCGCTAAAATAATTTTTTATAAGTTAAAAATTAATGATTGTCATTATTTTCAACAACATGTATTATTAATTGTGTGATAAAATGAAGAAAAATCATTGATTGTGGAAAGATATATTTAATGAACGCATTTTCCTCTAAAGTTAAGTTTCTTTTCCACCCATTTATCTCTCCAAATCCACTCAAGGTTACCTTAATCATTTTTTGAGTGTCATGATTCAAAATCACCGCGAGTCAAACAGCATAACTCTAAAACAATATTGTTAGGAGAGAAAATTGTTGGCACCAGACTTTAGCATTCCAAAATTAATCCCATTTTAACTGGACAAAGCTTGTTCATTTAGCATCACTACATTATGGGCTTAGCATTCACTGCAGGTTATTGTTCATCTTTCTATTGGTTTTTTTTTTTTAATTTTAATTCTATTTATTTTTCAAATTAATTTTTGAGCAAAAATAGTGGAAATATGAAACAGTAGACATAAGGAATTCTCTAGCATCTACTTGTAGATAGGCATGGCCACCGGTTCGGTTCTAACCGGAACCGAACCGAAACCGAACCGTACTGTAGACGGATCGAAACCGGACCGAAACCGCGGTTTAAAATTTACTGTTAGACGGATCGAAACCGGGACCGAAAACCGCGCGTTTAAAATTGTTGAACCGAAAAACCGCGCGGTTCAAGGCCGGTTAAGTTCATGTGAATGTTTTAAAGCCGGTTAAGGTTCATGTGAATGTTAAAAAATGAACCTGAACCGGCCCGAAACCGGCGGTTAACCGGCGGTTTCGGTCCGGTTCGAACCAGATTCACAAATAAAATTATTTGATGTAATAATACTTAATTTATAAAAAGTAGTGAAAAAAACATCATCATTAAACTTTTTATAAAACATCATCATTTATAAAAAAACATCGTCATTGAACCTTTTATAAAATATTATCATTTATGAAAAAATATCTTCACTAGCCGTTGAACCTTTTGTTTTACACAATTTTTTTCAAGGTTCAAACGGCTAGCAGGTGTCATTGTCAATAACATTTAATTTTTTTAGTTTTTAAATAAATTTTTATTTCATTTATTATAATACTAAATTATTCAAAAATATAATTGTTTTTTTCTGCTGTATAAGGGACAATTCGGAAAACTACATAAATGAAAAATATGTATTAAAATATGATGAGTTGATTATTTTTTTTCACAATCAATTATATCCTACTCTCCTCTTCTTAATATTGCCTTTATTTTCATAAATCCAAAATTCTAAAATTCACCATTAATTTTCATTATTCCATTATTTCATTTTTTTCCTATATTCCCATTTTAATAATTATTGGCCACACATTCACAAAAGCTCCAAGGGAAAGCCGAGTTGCTCAAAGCGATTAGAATAAATTAGATTCAAACGATCCATTGATGAAACGATCCATTGATTGATTTTTCACCACAAGAAGCAATGTTTCCTAATATTTCAATAGGTAAACGGTAAACCACCAAAATCAGATATGTTTAAGAAGCATTTTGCAAAAATTGTTCAAGATAATAGAGAAATCAATGCGGTTCGATGTAATTATTGTAAAAAAGAATATGCGATGATGATGATTCCGACTCTCAATAATGTGGAAATGTAAGAGTGTGTTAACGATTGGACTAGAACGGCGTTGAGAACTCAAGACCAGCAAAATTCAAGCGATGATGATGATTCCGACTCATTAACGGGGACTAGTGGCGCCGATTGACAAAAATTAATTGTAATAACTTGGAAGGTATTTTCCAATGAAGATAAAAAAAAAAAGAACTACGTGAGCTTTGATTTTCTATGATATTTTCAAGAGGATACGTAGGTTAAAATTAATTAAAAATTTTTCAATTTTAATTTAATTTCAAGCCCAAAAAATTTAATTCAAGCCCAAAATAAAAAATTATAATTTTCTATATTAGTGAGTTAGCAAAATTTGTAAATTTAATGTAATAATAGTTCTAAATTAATAGAAGTTTTTTGTTTTAAAATTTTATAATAATTTATTTAGTTAATAAAATTTAAACATCTTAAAATTATTATTTATTCATGAATTCGGAATCAAAACTTTATTATTTTTTTAAAAATTTACGTAATGCCGGAACCGAATCGGAACAGTAATTAGAACCGTCAGTTCGCCGGAACCGAAGGTTCAAGGGTCTGTTCTGGTTCAAAATTTTAAACATCTCGAACCGGCGGTTCAATGAACCGTAGATGCATCTGGCTATTTGGTCCAAACCGACCTCAGGTTCAAGGGTCGGTTCCGGTTCAAAATTTTAAACATCTCGAACCGGCGGTTCAATGAACCGAAACCGACGGTTCATTGAACCGGCCATGCCTACTTGTAGATTGCATCTGGTATTTGTCAAAACCGACCTCAGCCCGCTAAATAATGGCTCGAAATCGCTAGTATTTTTTTCGGATCTGAATAAGAGAATGAAAACTGTTTTTAACATGGTTTTTTGACCCAATCTGTTTGGATCAATCCCACGCCGCCCGGCCCGACGGGTCCGCAGGCTGTCCGCTTTCAACTCAAATAGTTGATTGGGGGATATTGGATTTCGCACAAGGCAACCTATTAAAATCAACAAATATTCTGAATATGTTTTTTGAAGCAACCTTTTCCTTTATAATATTCCTCAACTACATGCATACATCTTGTGCTCCTCGATAACTAATTCGATTCAAAAGTGGTATTTTATCCCCAACCAAATCACTTATGCTTTTGACGGGTTTTTTTTAATTTTATTTTCATGTTTTGGATTGTTGTTGGTTTTAAATTTGGATTATTTTATTGTTGTTGTTGATTTTAAATTTGAATTACTTTATTTTATTGTGGATTTTAAATTTTGATTGTAACAATGTTGATTTTTAATTTGAATTGATATATTATTAAGTTTTTGGTTAAAAAAATGAATAGAAAAATTAAAAAAGAATAGCACAATTTTTTTGAAAAAAAAAAATGGGCATGTTCAGATCTGTCCGTGGGCCCGATGCGGGCCGGGTCGAGTCAGAACATTGACGGCTCGTTTTATAATGAACTTGTTTGGCTCGATACATCTTGGGACCCAGCCCGCGCAGGTCGGGATGGCCGTTTTGACGGTAGTGATTGCATCACCTTAACCCGTAAGTTTCTTGAACATTGCATCACCTTAGCCACTGAGTTTTTTAAACATGAAATGAACATATAAACACAAGCACGCTCGTTAGAACTCGAATCCACAATCCATTGATTACAAGTCAAATGCCTTATCCATTAAGCCACGAGAGCCTAACCACTCAGTTAAAGACATTGAATCATTTTAAATTGGAATAACAAATGTCTTTCTTTGAAGTTGAACCAACCATTGAATCATATTGGTGACTACATCAACCACATCAAGTTAAATTTTTTACTTTTTATTAAAAAATACTAAAAAAATCATTAAAATTTACTTTTCAAACCATTTAATCCACAATATTATCTATTCCAATATAATAATAATAATAATAATAATAACATTCAGATATAAACTATATCAATTAAAATGTCATAAAGTTTCAACTTTCACATCAAATTCTATAATATAAATAATCAACCAGGTATAGTCTTAACTTTGGGAAAATCAAAAACAACTTTACAACATAAATTACAAACATTTGTACATTTTTAACCGCAGATGTCCAAAAATAAGTAATAAGCCAATTCTTTTTCACTTGAAATGATATTCAATTCTAGCTGTTTTTCAATCATCGGACCTGATCGTTTGCCGTTTCCAATGTTTTTATCAAATCAGACCAGCAAGTTTAACCAATTCATTTAACCAATTCAACCGACCAATCCAGTTCTGAAAACACTACAAAACTCTCATTTCTTTGTAATGACGCAGAGTAAAACCTACCATTCACAGAGAACTAGAAATATTAAGTAGGAAGCAACATTCATGCATCCACCTGCCAGTCAACCTCCGATCAAATTTAAGCTTCATTCTCATCTCTGCCAATCAACTCTCATTAATTTTAAGAATGGTACCTTCACTCTCCTCTCTCGTATGGCAATTCCTCTGGCTTCCAGAAATCTCTTCGGTATAACAGAATCGTGGGTTAAGCAAGCACAAGAAATTACAACAGGTATGTCTCCTCGATCTGAGTAACTTGCTAAATGCTAGAGTACTTGTGAATTCCAAAATCTAGTTTGTGTTTATGCATTGTAATCTCCATCCCATCAGTATGCAACTCATCTCCAGTTAACATAGCAGACGGCCGAAAAACTAGGTTTGAGATAAAAATAAGTCTGAGCATAAATTAAATCATACAACAAACGACCCTTAACTATTTTCATGTTCGGTTAAGTGTTTGCAGCTGGCAAAACAGATTAACTAAAGATGCAAGATATAGGAAAACAACAATCACAACACTAATGGTCAGACATATATAACAAATCCTTAGGTTGCCATATCTTTTGAACACAACTACAACCTCCGGCAGAGAACAAATAGATAACTTTTAGATTCCATGAAACCAAAACAAAAGAAACCGTCAAACTTTTTGCACTTTCCTTTGTTGCTCTCTTTAAAGGTTGGATTCTTGCATCTCCCAAGCAAGCCAAATGCATACCTTGAATTCATTCTTTGCTATTCCATTGTATACTTGTCCAGAATCCCTTCAACGTATTGGATGATATTGTGTGATACCACGTTTTGGAGGCAATTTCCTCAAAATGAAAAGAACCAAGGAGGAAGGTAAAATCTCCACTAGCTGCAAGGAAATTGGAACTTAGATGAGTAAGTAAAAGCATTTAAGAGGAACCACATCTCTAATGTCTCTAAGCAGTTATTTCTAGTTAGCTATGGTATTCGACAAATTTATCAATAAGAAAAATCGCAGTCAACTATCATAACATGGAAAACTCTACTTTGCACAAGCCATAACATAAGAAAACTCCATAAGAGGATCATAAATTATCAAAAGACCAGAACTAGTCAACAGATTTCAACCATGTGCCCCTGAAATCCACAAATCAACTGTGATTTTATTTAAAAGGACTAGGTCTCACCAAATCCATTACAGAGACAAAGATTTCCTCCTTTAAACCCAAACATCTCCAATAAAAATACAGCATAGAAGGCCACCTGAGTATATTATTTGATTAAAAGTTTGGCAGCTAAGTTTATTTAGCTAAGGTTTAGATCACTAGGAATACTGTCCTCTTGATTTTTGAACTATTCTGCAATTCCGTCAAGTGGCCAAAACTGGAACCCTTTAAAGGCTCTAAGAGAAAATTTTGAAGGAACTGATCAAAATTTTTTATTATCCTTTCACATACTGATCAAAATCCCCATTTTTCATCTGTAAACTCATTTGCAAAAAGTATTGTTTCCCCATAGCTACCAACAACTCAGTTTTAATGAAAAACTGGTGAAGCAGAAAACTTGGTGGTAACTTTATAACAATGCCAGAAAAATTTTACACAGAGAACACACCAATACCCTAAAAATTTTCATTTTCTTGACAATAAGCATCAAATATAATCAAGTATCAAAACTGACCAGGTAATATATGAAGTTCAGAACTGGATGATCCAAAACATCAAGGTTTGCAGCTTCATCAAATGCATTAAAGCACATCTGGACAATAAGAAAATGATGTTACGAGCCACCGTTAGATGAACTTCTTGGAAGCAACATATGTACAGTTCTTATCATAAACCACTGTTAATGGGAAAGCTTGAACCAACCAACAGCCAAGGAAATTAGATATGACGTAATTCAATGATTATTGTGCAACATATACAACTTTTAGGTAAGCATTTAGCTAGCCCCATAGCTTAAATACTATTTTATGTGAATACATCATTACATTTTTTTAAGTGAAAATGAAAAACTGGAAATGAATTCAATAAACTTACCATAATGCATCTGACAAGGAAGCATGAGAAACATATGGTGGTCACATAGCCAACCTGTCCCATACAGAAACGGAACCAACAGTTGGTAATTGACAAAAATGCAAATAGATCAGCATGCAAAACCCAATAACTTCTAAATAATTACCTCTTGCAGCTTTTTACGCCTCCCTTTAGATTCTACAGGGAACCGCTGCAACATTAAGAAGAGCCTAGCAGAAGATGAAGTTCATTAGATAATTACATAAAAGATAGGTAGATGGGAGCAAATTCATACAACGAAATTCCTTTTTATCATTAAGACAATGGGAGAGGGAGAAGGGGCACACGGGAGAATGGAAAAACAAGGACAAGTTATAAAAGATATTTGTATGCTATATATGCTATATGGCAATACCATACCATCTGGTTATCAAAACCCTGATGCCAATGCACAAGGCACACAGTTACAAGAATAATACAGTAAACTGAACAAGAGAAAGGTAGCAAAAACTCTCCTGAAAAGTCAAATTTGTTAATGCAAAGTGCCAAGCACTTAATCTCTATATACTGGCATACGCAACAAACAACACAACTACATGCTGAAATGCACCCTTAACAATTTTCTTGTTGCCTTGATCTCCATCCTGGGTCTCTTCTTGTCTCTTTTTTCAGTTGAGACAGGGGGTGAAAGGAAGTAGAGGGATGTATTGGCAAAAAATCTTGTATCCCAATAATCTGATTGAACCTGACTCAAATAGTGCAAAATTGATATGAAGCCTATAAAGTACCTACAATCTGACAAAAATTAGGCCTAACAAACTATCCGAAAACTCACTTTTGCAAGTCCCAAATCCTATTAGATTAAACTAAATAGCACTTGGCACATACACTATCCAGAAATTTGGTTTGTTGGCATGGCAGAAATTCAACACCCCTTCTTAGCAGAAAAATAAGGCATTTGAATTAACTCCTACAGATAACCAGAAGCAAAGTCTCAATGCATGTGAGACCTTCACCCTAGGTAATCCAACCAGGAACTATAATACTTTTATCAAAGATTTGGCAGGTCCTTCACGTTTTTTTAACTTGTCCACAGCCTATGATGTCATGTCACAATAGGACCTTAGTATAGAGATAGAACTGGATGATGATAATTTGAGAAGCTATGCTCTGAAGGGGGGGTGACTAGTGACACAAAGATGACACTGTAAACAAGCTACTGATGCAATAGCAGTACCACAGACCTTAAAAATTTTCAGTACTCTATCTAGAGATTGTGCATTAGTCTTTAAAAGCTAAAAAATATGATAATCCTCTGAACCTTTTGATAAGCAAACAAGTACTTCTTGGCACACAATTGTCCATCAGACAAGGCAAAAATCATAAACATTAGCATATTGCCTGAAAATAGGATCAAGTTCTCCAAGTGTCTTAACTTTTTATGTCATGATGCAGTCACACAGTTCAATGCTGATCAAAATATCAGGCAAATGTTGAAAAAATGGCAAAACAATTACCTTCCACCATAAAGTAGGAAACCAAGAGCTGCAAACAAAGACACACCTGCCAGATGTATATATATTAAGAACAAGATAGAAGTTATAATAATGAAAAGTTCAGAATTGTACACAAAGTTATTTAATGTCTAGTGTAAAAGAGAAAAACCTGCAAAGAACATCTTAGAGAGGATGACTACCACCCGGTGATCTTTCCACCACAATACCAACCACATAGCAATCTGGAATCAATTAAACCACAGAAAATAATGTTGAAACCTTTTACATAAAACACTTACTATGCAAACTGCATTATTGTAACAAGATATACATTTAATGTAGCAACACGTTACACTACGTAGCATATAAAGGCACATATATCAAGTCAGCAACTTTCTATGGAGATTACCATGCAGAATCAGCAATGAAATACAAAATTCTAAAGTAACTAATTCTGTGAATATTACAGTGCAAAAGTAAACCAGTATCAACATCTTCAAATTCCAAACCATCTTTTGAAAGTCCAAGACAAAATTTAAGACAAAGGGGAAACCAGATACTGCACCAACTTACATACACAAAGAATGCCAAACTAGGTTTCACAATAACAAACAATAACCCTAAGCCCAAGCCAACACATCATCATAGCCCCATTGAAGATGCAAGAATGGATGACCAAAGTCACCAAAATCCATTGTTCATCAGTAGACAACAGCTTAAAAGTATTGTTACGAGAAAAAAAACCGAGAATGTTTTAGTTAAGATTTGAAGCATAAAGATGTATTTTAAATTTCCAGACACAATAGATATTGTAATTTTAATCCTCCAAGTATCCTACTACCTAGCAAGCACACCATATGCAATAATAAGCTTTTTGTAAGTTTCTACCTTCCATAGTCAAAATGCTTACAAGAGTGAACACATCCCTACAAGGGTTATTGAAAGTCCCATGGTCTTTTATTCAAGAGTGTCACTTAAAAAAAAAAAAGGAATGAAGATATTTATATGCATGGTGCTAAATTATTTTATACTCTGCTCCATTATTTCCAATCATTTGCTGACACTCGATTCAAATGTATTTCTATTTTCTTTATTTGTCCAAGGCATCCATCTATTTGTTGTTTATCTTAGACTCTTAGAGGACGTTTGGTTCTGCTGTTTGATACAGCTGATAGCTAATTCGCACCCAACAGTTAGGTTGTAGGTGTTTGATAAGCTTTTTAATTAACAACTGATAGCTGATAAAAGTCTCAATCAGCTGCTGATTCCATTAACTACGTTTTGGAACTTTTTCGTATAAATTATTAGCTAATCTATATTTGTCTTATATTTACATTTCATTAACCTCATAAAAATAATTACAAACAGATTTTTTTTTCCAAATTAATATTTTTACAATAATTTTATTTAGCCATTTAAAAATAATAATTTTTTACTAAATATCATCTTTAAAAAATTAAATAATACTTTCTATTTATATAAACATTAAAATACAAAATAATATATTCAGCTTATTTATATAAACATTAAAATTTACAATAATATATTCAGCTTAAAATTAAAAATATATATATATATATATATAATTATATATTATATACTATATATATATATATATATATATATATTCATATATCATAATATATAAAAACCAAAACTATACGGCTAAATTTTATTTTACATTTTTTTAACAACTGCTAATTAAAATTTACCAAACCAACTTTCCTAAGCTAAACTTCTATTTAGCCACCTCCATATATTGCATATATCATAATATATAAAACCAACTATACGCTAAATTATTATTTACATTTTAACAACTGCTATTAAAATTTACCAAACACAACGTTCCTAAGCTAAACTCTATTAGCCACCATCCACTAGCTATTAGCAACCGCTATCAATTATCAGCTGATATGAACAACAAAACCAAATAGGCCCTTAGTGTGTGCATGAGTTGGTTTGGGCAGGTTAAGTGTAATATGCCAAACCAAATTGACATCTCCTTCAAAATACTTGTCATATATATGGGTTATAAAATGGGGCTATTTGGAAAATAATTAACACTTTTAATTATTTAATGATAGGTTGTAGAGACATAGTTAATATAAATTATTTATCTTAATACAATAAATATTTTTAATAAAAGTTAATTGTCTTGGTTAGATTCAGGTTGTGTGGTTTCAAATCCTATGAACCCACCAAACTAAAACCAATGGCTCATTTTTCATTTTTCTTGGACCAAAACAAACCAAATATAAATTATCAACTAGTTTTATTAGTTTAATTTGATTGGTCTGGATTCAGGTCATCATATTGCGACGTTGTTTTATCAGGCCTAGTTTCTGTTAACGAACTATGCAAAATCTAATGTAAACCATGCCCTTAACCCTCTCAAGTTTCTGTCGCAATTAGTTGCTAAACTAATCTATTTATACTAACCACAAAAACTGAAAAGTCCAGCCGATTTCTAAATTCTAACATCCCTGATTAGATTTTTTTTTTTTATCCTGCATCATTTTTGGTATCTGACATGAGTATCCAGCTGATAGTAAACCGCAAAAAGAGTATACAAAAAGAAATTTAAAGACAGAGAGACGATTCTATATATTATACGGTCATCAAAGATTGGTAATAATCAATGAAATCCACACAAGAGAAATTAAATGAGTAAGGATCCATTTGGTTAGCTTTCTCTTTTTTTTTTTTTAATTTGCTAATTCTGAAGCAAAATTAAAAAAGCAATATTTGGTTAAAAGAAGATAATAATTATAAGGCAAAAGAAATGACATAAAAAAACAAAAATTAATTTCTCGTTCCAAAAGGAAAAGTTGACTACTACAGAGCCCAAGCTAATTATTTCATAATTTGAGTTACAATTCAAAGTAGGAAGGAAGTATTTTTTCATTTAACATGTTTTCTAATTGTTCAATTCTATATTATTTGGAAAACAAGCTCATTGGACAAGTTTATTAATGTTTGTAGTAGAAAACAATTTAATTATAGCATGTTTTCCGAATCTGTATCGGAAAATAGAAATTGGAAATGGAGAAGAAAGCTAGAAAAGAAAAACGCAAAGATATTTCAATTAATTTATCTGGTTACTCGGTAATGCATTTTATTTCAGTTTGTGTCATTGGAATATCACCCACTTGGTGACACATTTATTTTCCAGAAGCATATGCATAAGATCACCAAAGATCTACATCCTATGCCACTAATGTTCCACAGCAAACCATCTTTTAACCTCCATTGTCTATTCGAGAAACCTTCAAACTTAACCAGTCAATAATTCATTTAAGAAGCTCAAAGAATGCTAATAGTTAGTATCATCTAAATTTGCCCCATGAAAATTGGGACCAAGAAGAAAATTCCCCAATAGTGATGAGGATCTCACCTTATATACCGAAAAAATTCACAAATTTCTTTGTGCAACAGAAATCTTTCAGCAATAAAATGATTGACCCGAAGTGATCATAAATCCACCAAGCCACATATCACAGTCCCAACCACAGAATCATCAATGTTTTAGATGAAAAAGAAAAGGTTTGCTCACCGACGTTCCTCTTCTAACTTTTGTTCACTAATGTTGGATTTTCAGCTAAATCTTAGGCCTTGAAGGAAACATGAATATTAACATATGGCAAGATTCTTAGCTAGAAAAGCTAAAATATGCAAACGAATCCTAACATCTCAAGAAACAAGAGGACATGTAGAAACAGTAACCATTTGGTAAAGTTGGCAAATAAGTCATATCCCAAGAGTCTAAATTTCAGAAAACTGATGCATCAAAACAATGTCAATCACATCATTTGCAAAGTTACTAAATGACTTCAACTTAAAGTTATAGTTGGTTATTACTGGGTGGAGTGTAATCATCTTGTCAAAACCTGCCACACACCAAATGCTCAGTGTCTTCAATAACAGTTGCAGAAAACAGCAAATGAGAAAATTAAGAGAGCCATACACATCTAAAAATAATATTAATTTTTCCATGAATTCATTTCATATCTTCCATGCAGAAGGAATTTGGATTCAATTCTCATTTCACTTGGAATATCACAAATACCAAAACAATGCATGAGAAATTTCACCTGAACAGCATAAACCACTGCATTAATTGTGAAGAAACTTGGCCTAAGTCCGTCAGTAGATACAGCACGTGCCTGCTCAATATACACCAAAATCACAATAGGGCCAATTTTATCCAAAGAAGACCATAAGAAAACCGGATAATAACCATTACCTGATAGTAAATCTCTGCCCAGAAGAGAACCAAAAGCGCATATGTTGTGAAGAAAGCAAGACTAGGCATATCAATCAAGATATGTTGGATAATCTAATACGTTTTCAAGATAGGAATTAGTAATAGCAAGACATGAGAAGAGACATGAGAAGATTAAAAGAAATTTCAAAGTGGAGCACTAACTGGTGGATGTATGCCTTCTACATTCCGACGAAAAATGAATACTAGACAGCGAACTACAAGATAGAGGAAAGCAGAGTCAATACAGAAAGTGATAAAATAAGAAGTCTAATATGAAGGGAAAATATCTGAAGCTCAAGGCATTAGGCACAGACCCCCATTTACTAGGAAATTGAGAAAGTGGAAAACCTTCTGTGTGGTCCAACCATACTCAGGAACTCTCAACTGTATCCGCACCAATTGAACCTGACAGCATTTAATTTCTTATTATGAACCAATTCAACCAAAAGGGGAAGTCCGGTGGGGGGAAAGCAATAACAATCTCACTGCATAATGCAATAGACAAAAACTGCACCCCAAATATATAAACAAGCTCCTTAATGGTCATATAAATTAATTGAGTATTTGGAGCAACAAGAGGCAGAGAATGATAAAAACATGATAGAAGCCCATGGAATTTGTTCACGAAAAACCCAAACGTGTAGTATTTTTATTGATAATATCAAAATACTGAGTTACTATAATAATACCAAAGACATAAAAATTTTAGTCAAATAGACGAAGCACTTTGATGTATCATTCACGACAACCGAACTTACTCCAAGACACAGTTGTTAAAATTTCGTGTTCAAAACCTCCAATGCGAACTTCTCTTGAAGCGATAATGCGTTGATCAAATTGATTATTTTAAACCCTAGAATCCCTAATGAAATCGGCTTAGGGTTATCTATGAATGTATTTTATCAATTGGGCAAAAACATCAAAATTGAGGTCAGAATTGTTATTAATCTAGCAATTGAACAATTCAGGTGAAATATATCATTAACAAACTCCATGTCACAATTCGAATTATAAACTTTGCATAGAAAAGAAACCAATATTCTTTACGGAAATACACAGAAAGCAAGAAAAAGAGAAGCGTACAAGAGCAACGGCAGCTACGAGGCCATAAAGAGCGGCGAGGATGTGAAAGATGCGATCCTGCCAAACTGGCGATTCGTTTATCTCTATCCACCAACTGGAGGCGTCTTTCAATTTGTAGGCTAACACCGCCGCAGGTATTTCTACGCCATTCCTCCCCATCTCCTATCCACTAGCCTCGCCGGAGATCGACAAAACTCTCCAATTCTGTTACTTTTCTCTTTCGTCCGATTATTATTTTACTGTTTATTGTATTATTGCTACGACAAGGAAAAGGAGATTTGATCACGTACCTTCGGTTTTCTTTATATATATATATATATATTTTTTTTTTTTGGAATTTAAATTAATATAATATAATTTTTCTTATTGTTGTTCGGAATTGAATTGGAGTCGGAGGTGGAGAAAAGAAAAGCCGGCGAGAAAGAGAGGAAAGAAAGATGGGGCAGGGGTTCTCTCGAAGCTATAACGTGACCCACTAACCGGTGTTATTTTTTATGGATGATGATCTTTTGGTGAACGTGTGTTTTCTCCAAAAGTATTTTTCTGCTGACTGGGGGCATTCCACATTCCACATGGCTTCATCATAGTTTTTAGAGAAACTAGTAAAATCCTCATGCTATGCACCGTTTAAAAAAAAAATCCGGAATATATAAATTAACACTTCAATTTTATAATTTTCAATTTTATGGCACTTTAAATTTTATAAATGACCTATTGTATATTTAAATTTATAAATTTTATTAATATTGCACACTTTTCATTAATAATAATAGTTTTTAGATTTAATTTAAAGTGTAATTAGCATAACTTTTGGAACAATAACTTTTCACATTTTATAACTATGTAATAAGTTTTTAATTGATTTAATTTTAAAAGTTGAAGTTTTTAATAAAATAATTCTATAAATTGAAGTATTTAACAGGTGTAATTTTATAAATTGAAGTGTTTAATAGGTCAAAATAAAAGCTGAGAATACCATAAGATTAAAGTAATAAAGTTCAACAGTGAATTTATATATTTAATAATAAAAAAAAGAATAGATCCCAATTGGTTTAGTGCATATCAATTTGCTTATGTACTTTGTGTGATTTTTTATGCCCATAAACTTTGCCGGGACACATCATGACCTTACCCTTTCACTTTTCAGTAATAAAATATGTTAAAAGTTCAGAGGGTTACATGGGCAATTGGTCAAATTTAGAGTCAAATTTATATATTAAGTCTATCACAATTTAGCTCTTGAACTTGTCACTCACAGTGAAAAGTTCAAATTTGACCTTTTGGAACAAATTGAACATGAAGTTTCATAAAGAAATAAAGGTCAATTTTGCCCATGAACTTGTTTAGCATGATAAAAAAAGGTTAGATTTTTGACCGTTTGGGTCAATTTAGCCCTTGAACTTGTATAAAATGATTAAAAAGATTCAATTTTACTTTTTAAGTCAATTTAGCCCATGAACTTATTTAAAATGATTAAAAAGAATCATATTTGACATTTTGAGTCATTTAACCTCTAATTTTTCATTGTACTTACAATATGAAAATCATTATACAGACATTTATTAAAACTGTAGTTAGATCGAGTTGACTAATTTATTAACAAATCAATTCATTATAAAATATAAGAAAATGATATATGAAGTATATTGTATCTCTCTTTACCTTGATTGATGGTTTTGAATTTATAAATATATATTAATTTGAATATTTTAAAACTAACCTCTATTAATCTATGCATTTTTCATATTGAATAAATCTCTTTACCTTGATTGTGGTTTTTGAATTTAATTAAATATATATTTTATAAATATATATTAATTTGAATATTTTAAAACTAACCTCTATTAATCTATGCATTTTTCATATTGAATAAATTAAAGTTATAATGCATATTTATAAATTTGTTATATTACAAGAAATGATGTGTTTATGAATTTTAAATTTATATTCATAAGTATTTAAAAAGTTTGATCTTAGTGTTTTTAATGTAGGAAAAAAAAGGGATAAAAAGTTAATCATGTTAAATTAAATTGATTATTAATTTTAAAAAATCAAAACAAGTTCAAGGGTTAAATTAGCCTAAAAAGTGAAATAAGATCTTTTTAATCATTTTATACAAGTTCAAATGCTAAATTGGCCCAAAAGGTTAAATTGACCTTCTTACTCCTGCTAAACAAGTTCGGAGACCAAATTGACTTTTATACCTTTCATATATTAAGTTAAAATGGCCCAAAATCGTAGGAGTTGCATGTTTGGTTCATGCGATCAATATGCAAAAAAATAAAGAAATTAAAATAGAAAAATAATAGTCAGTTGGATTTGGAGGTAAATTGTCATCTAGAATCCCTAAATAACAAAATACCTAATAAAATAGAAGCATTAAATCGCGTTAGACGAATCTTAATGAGACTTAAAATTGAGCAACTTATCCTCAAAGATTTATTGTTTTCCCATACAAGACGACCTGTTGCAAGATTTATTGTTTTGGGTGCTAAGAAGTTTTGACATGAATTGCATGGAGACTGGCAACTTGATAAATCATTTACGAGCTCAAATTTCAAAGATTGAAGTATTGGTTGCAGTTATTAATAATATTGATGCCAATTTCTTAATAAGTTACAATGCTTATAGATTAATAATTTTACTTAGAGGGAGAAAAGATGTAACACTCACCCGCCAATCCCGGAGAACCAGACGGCGGATGCCACAATCGGTGCCGGAGCACCGTCTTATGTCACTTATTAAAGCTAGATCACAAATTGCTATTTTACACAAGGTTATCGGATTCCTTCATATTACCCAGATTGTTAACGTTTTTGGTCTATGAAAGGTATTGACAAGAGTTATCAGTTAAATATAGATTATATTCCTGAGTGGACAGCGGCCGGACTAAGTTCTTAATCAAGGTTTATCTGACAATGCTCTCATTTACGCTAGATTACCATGTCTATAATGGTTTGCTCCTATAACGTCTGAAGACTAAGGGATAGAACTTAAGATGTAAAACAATCACCTTTCTAGAAATCCTATCCTCTTCTTCTTCGACAGCCAAAACGTCTCACTATTCATTCCAAACCTGCTGGACAGTAACCAGTACGGCTTGCCTGATTCTTTGTTAACTGTAATATGAGGAATTGGTGCGGGGCATTGCCCTCAGCCCAAGGGCTGCTGAAATTTGTTAAGTCAAATCATAAGTAAAGGCATTCGGCTTAATCCAGATATTGTAGACGGGATTTGGAGACGGCGAGTCTTAGATTGTTCAGTAACTTATGGACTTAAAGGACCATAGAGATTCTGAACATCAACAATTATATGAAAAATAGATGAGTTAATTGAAATTTGTAATAAATCAAGGAGGCCAAGTGAAAGACTGGGTAATAGAGTAATACATTGGTTAGTAAAGGAAGAAATAGTATCGGAAGGAGACAAAAGGGACTGGTATTTAAATAGTGAGGGAAATGCGAAATGGGCAAAACCAAACTCAACGGATAAAGCAATAGTTTTTTGCGGCCGTAAGGGAGGGTGTCATCCGGCTCTAAAATAAAGCAGTTGTTGTAAAACTCTCGTGTGCAGCAGCCCATCGCCCGCCACTTGGCCAATGAATATTGACAGAAGCAAAGCCCAAAAATAATAAGTCACAAATAAAAAAAATAAAATACTAAAGCTTCAATTTCAAAGATCAGGAGATGTGAAATTTTCGTCCGGGCAGAACCCCTATAATATCTTCTTCCAAGCATCCAAATTAATTAGAACGTTACTCACTACGTTTATTGAGAGCAAGACAGCCAAACGGCATAAAGGGGGAGCTCCGAAACTTGTCTGAAAGTAAGTATCCAAAATGTCAGATTTACATCTTAGAATAATCCACATAGCCGTAACACATTTCTCAACGATGTTTGAATCAAAAGGCACGCTTCTTATTGTTTCAAAGGTGAATGTACAAGCTCTCCTATGACAACAAGACCTATGAGGGATCAATGAAAGTGTATGCTGCGAGACCATGGTTATCTTTTATAGGATGGCAGCCAAGCTACAGGGAATTAAACATGTCGTAAATTACAGTAACAACATTGCATTACTCCTCCCTTCTACTTATTATTCACAAACTGCAAAATACTAAACTTACTTTGCTTCAATGGTAACTTCACTTCTCTTTGCTTCCCTTTAATCGGTACGCCCTAAATTCGGGAAGACCCCTTTTTTTAGTGAAGCTTCCATCATTTGCCTCCTTTAAGGAGCAAGTTGTGGCCCCATTATGGGTATTTGCATTTCATACGTCTTCACCCATTATAAGGGAAGGTTTTCATTCCCTTTTGGTCCCTATAATTCAATATAGAAGGGCGAGCTGATTGGTGAGTAAATATTTGGGTAATTAGCAGGTTGAGGATGAGCATCCATTATCATGTTAAGGACACTATCGGATATAGAAAACACGATGAGAAGGGCAGAGGAGGGAACATGACTGCTTTCTCTGCTGTTATGTGGGTAAGTGGGATGAGGGACTAGAGGGGAAGAAAGGGCGAAGCAAAGGAGGTCGTTCGTTTGTTTCCGCGTCGAAGATGGAGCAACGTTTTAAGAGTGAGTCATTGCACGGGTGCAAAGGATTTCCATTAGACTGCAACTCTCATCAGTTTCAGTGACTTAAGCGGCTCAACACAGTGTATGGGCTAAGATCAAGCATCAGCCTATAGTCTCTAATATTCCTCCTCGAGAATAGGCCTAATTGGACTCATAAATACCCTATCCTCTCCACTTAATAACGGAATGCCCTGTGTCTTAAGCCTATTCTTATTTTACGTGTTACTCAAATTTTAAGATAAACCCTCCCACCGCCAAAATTCACAATGTTTTAAGTCTCTAACCTACTTCCAAACGGCTGGCTACAGCGCTTAAATCTATCGTAACGTCAACCATAATAGTGCCTCATTGAATTTATCCGTTTCTTCTAATCAATGACGCTTTCACTATTGTTCACAGCAAATCCGTTCCCAACTCCATTTGAACATAACGTACCAATAATTATTAATATCGGCATTTGTAGTTACCCAGTGTCATATCAAGACCAAACTTAATGGCAGGTAGGTGATGGCCACTTTTTACGTCGGTCTATAAGGAAAATAGAGTCTTTTTATCTAAGTAGTACCACCTGCCTCTAATAGGAGTAACATGCGAAAAGAAAACAATGACAACATTCTGTGGGACATGAAAGAGTATGTATAACAGTAGTATAATATTATGTTAAAAGAGTTATGGCTCACTATATAAAGTAGAGATTGCATCTTATGTTTTCTTGGATCCTAAAAAGTATATCCATAAATCGCAGAGTAGCACCCCCGTATGAATTACACAGAATAATTAGTTGGTTACTTTGCTTAAACTTCCAAAAAACAATAGGAGTAACGTCGCCAGGGGTAAAAGATATCAATACGAAACATCTATTTCCTACTACCTAACAGCTAATCATGAAATGACTGGCCTCTTAAGATCAAATGATAACTTATTTTAAAAGTGGCTTTCTACACCTGACATGATGGTCTAGAATCTCCTT